ATCTGCATAAACAGAAGCAAAAACACAACCATAGCCCTGACGAAATGCAAACACACAGAACCACACTCAATAACAATCAACAGAGACACACAACAACATCAAGTTTTGGGCCTTTCCAAAAAAAAAAAACCCATAACTTGCCATGGCGGAGCTAGGGTCACCAGCTCACCTACAAAAGGAATTATCAAGGTACAAAAAAATTTGGCAGCTTGACCTTTACTATAGAAAATAGGACGTGTAATATAGAGCGAAGTGATTTAACACCCTTCATGGAATCCTCAAAGGTGCCATGGTGTCTCGGTTATAAACTGGTAGTGAATGGAGAGCTCTTTGTTATTAATAAACCAACTTTAGCATGGATGAAGATCTCAAGTGAATAAAGCTGCAACATTATGAATAACATATGCTTTAGCATGGGTTTCAAACAATCAGTTTGTCCACCCAGAAAGAAGCCATTCCTATACACTTTTTCAGTGTGGATTTCAGCAAACACAATTGTCTTGTTGCTTCTTTCAAAATGTTCAGGATGAACTAAAATTCAGAGATTATTTTCTTTGCTTTCATTTTAAGGTATTGCTAACATAAAATCAAATCTGGTTTGGAATGATCAAATCTCATTTATTAATCATAAGGAATAGAAGAGAATTTGGAGTGAATTAACTACCTTGTCATCCATTGCATCCTTGTTTAAAATTGCATCCATTATCCTTCTCAACATGACAGCAACATATATGCATTTTGGACGAAAATTGTCCTGACACACCTACAAAAACAAGAGGGGCACAAAAAAATGTTATGATCAAACAAATGAAGCATGTTTATAAGATGTTTTAAATTGAGAGAGAGAGAGAGAGAGAGAGAGAGAGAGAGAGGAGGGGGGGAAAGGGGGAAGGAACACCTTACCTCAACATTAGCAAGAAACACATCTTGAAGAACAGTCATTACTCTACCGTCCTATTAGAATAATGGACAATTGAAGCCACAAATAAGAAATTAGAAAATTTCAAAAAAAAGATAAATTCAAAAGAACAATGACACATTTCAGCAAATAAAAAGAAGAAATAACTAACATTCTCAGATGAAGCACCAGCAAAACTGAACCTCTTCACCTGAAACATGAAGCAGCACACTACTAATTTAATACGCAACTGATTCCCATTTTAGGATTTTTTTTTTTTTTTTTTTTTTGGCAAAAGGTCACAGCTAGCATTTGAAAAGAAAGGAAATAGATACTAGAAATAGTTACAATTCATTTCCACAAATAGACAGAGATAGAAATTTAGAAATGCAACTGTAAGATATTTAGACTTCAATTCAGAACAGATCAATGGTGGTGGAGATGTCCTCTTGAGCAGGACTCATTTGGTGTTCTGCTATTCAAATATTGGAGTGCAGTCTGAGCGGGTAGGACTCCACCATTATGGAGCGAGGTTCACTTAGCTGCCTCTGGAAATTCATCTCTCAGGTTTCCCTTTTTTCGCACAGGGGTCTAACTTTGTGGTGGGGAATGATTCTAAAAGTAAATTTGGAGGGAGATGTTTGGCTAGGTTAGTTTTCTTTTGAGTCTTTAATCCCCCACTTATATCGGCTTTCCACAATCCACAAAGTACTCTCATCCATTACTCTAAGTAAAATTCTTTAAATTTCATTTACTCTAAGCATTATCCAGGAGCTATAAGAGGCCTAAATTCCTTGCAGAGCAAATAAGGAAATGGTAAGGTATTTGGGGGCCATGTACCCATAATAACAATAAGTACCAAAACCATTAGCACACCACACTCTAAGGCACACTGATGTTTGCAATCAACCTTCCACAAAGATATACCACTACATTGGTCAAGGAAGGGCACACCCTACCACGCAAATATCTAGGTTGACAGTGAAAGGGTATAAGCTTCCTATGAGTAGATGAAATCTGCATTACATGGACCTTTACTTCACCTTGGCCTGGCCATGTCAATACAACAGGGAATTGGTAAGATCATGGCTTACTAATAGGAATACTATGAATGAGTGAAGACCGTATGGAACAAAGATGTATTTGGCACTAGTGCATGTACTCACATCCAAGAGCAATGCCCAAATCCATGTAATGTAGATTTATAAATAAGAAATAAACAGGAAGAGAGAGAGAGAGAGAGAGAGAGAGA